CCCCAAAACCCCAAAACCCCTGTTTCAGCTAGGATTATGAATTAGTTGCATTTAAATTGGAAATTAATAAATCAGAGGAAAATGGAAAAGGAATATCGAATTATAAACTTTAAACTATTTGAGTTCGATTACGAGCTTAGTCTGAGATTGTAACAATCAATCTTTCGTTTTATTAGGAATTTATAGAGCCCATGAAATTAGCGAGACTTAGAAAATGACTGTACTGCTATATACTAAAGAATATATACAGTCCAAGATAAACACAACGGAGATCAATTTATATGTATTATATGATATAAATATTGATAATGAATGAATAGTATGATGAGCATAATCCAACTACTGACGAAGAGATATTGCAAGAGTAGATGATTGAATAAGTTTTAGTCAAGTATAAATAGTCCGAGGAGTTAAAACTAGAGGTAGGTAGATTCCAATTCACATTATATCTTTACTGAAATCACATAAATTATCCGGCTAAATATACTCTTGGATTCACAGAGATTAATATGTGATTATAGGAAATGAAAGAAGTCGACAGACAAGAGACGATATATGTTAATAAAAAGGGGCAACTCATCAAGATTACACCAGTCGAGAGAAATGGGAAGTTAACTGAAATGCATCAAATACTAAGCTTTAACGTGGACACTCTACCTCAGGCAAATCAACATACATACACTGCTCCAGCTGAGGATGATGGCTCATCGTAACACATTATATATAATCATAATATTTATATAGGACACCCAAGTTTAAAGCTCCTGCAGTTAGAGTCAAAGTGCCTGTAAAGGATGGAATGAGCTAGAGTGTAAGCCTTATATGCTTAATTGATAAAACTTTAGAAATTTATCCAATAGTCAAAGTAGCTAGAAGGATTGGTTAGCAACCCTAATGAGATATTTTACACAGCTGAGGAAATAGCCTTGCATAAGACTGACGATGATTGTTGGACTATATTCAACGGCAGAGTATATGATATCACTTAGTATGCAAAAGTCCATCCAGGAGGTAGAAAGATATTCTTGGGTAAGGGCAAAGACTGCACCGAGCTGTTTAATAAATATCATCCTTGGGTGAATGCATAGTTCTTGATTGGAAAGTATCAAGTAGGAGTTCTCAGAAGACTGTGACTTATGCTAAAGCATTTCTTCTAACTAGTTTAATGAAAGGTACTAAAAATAGCTTCATCTCATAGTGATTAATTTAGAAATATAAGGGAAGTTTTAATTCCTGAATGCTTTATCAATAAATAGTTATGAAATTAAGATTATGCTATTTCATATATTTAAACTTATTCATCATTTGGTAATCTTGGGAAGGTCTTAGAAACCTAGTTAAGTAACTACTTTAGTTCTTGAAGTAGAAGTGAATTTACTATCTATAGGCTGTTTAATTATAGGATATTGCACACCAAGATTGCTGAGAGAGGCAATATTATGAACCTATGTTTAGGTCTGGTTTTTAATCCTGCTATGAAATGCCTTTGTGTATTTTTTAATCTCTGCATTTGGATTTTTAATGATTTCCTCAATGTCAAAGTTAGGCTTGCGTTAAGAATCCACAGACTAGTTAGATTGTCTGGTACTATTCATATTTATTTAGTTCATTTCAGTTTAATGTCTATGAGGTTCGATTGTAGTATTGTTAAAATTTCTAGTGGTGAAGTTTGTATTGTTTATTGTTAGTTTCTAGTCATAATGTGAAATAGACAGATTTCTGATTCCCATTTTATGCTGTCTAGATTTTTCATCATTTTTGCTAATAGTCAAATGCAGACCTTTGATCGCTTTCAAAGGATCTAAAGGAGTTGTGTTCTTGGCATTCTCAGTATATCTTTATTCTAGTGGGGCATTATCATTATTACTGAAAGTAGTATTTGTATTGTTCATAGTCTGATGCATTGCCTCCTTAAAATCTTACTTATGGCCTATTCCGAAAGGCAATTACTGATTGATAGGTTCAAGTTGATCTATCTAGCTGCCTTGATGCTTGAAAGACCCTGATCTTAGCAAGCTATTTTATAGTAAACTGTCTTCAAGTACAAGATCGTCATAGTACCTCTTAGGGTAAATAGCATTTTACTTAAATAATGCTGTTTTCTGGAGAAGTTTAAAGGATTTCTCCATCATTTACTTTCTAATTTTAAGTAATTCAACTCTTTGAATCGGCTTAGATCTGTAAATGATATCTGTTGGCTAATATGAAATGCATGCTACCTTGAACATATAAAGTACCTATTGCAAGTCATGCCCGGTGACTTGGCAAGAAAGGCATGTTTGATCAAGCTTAATAGGATAATCCACTTTAACATTTTAAGTGAAGGGATCTTTATAAATGTTATAGTTACTTGTCCCTCTTTTCCTGCTGGTTAAGTTCAATTAAGATAAATCCCTTTAAGAGTCATTTGAGTTTGATCTCAAAGTCTAATTGATATTCTTAGGTGAAGACTAATCTTTAAACTCGAATGGATCTAGAGTAGCTTAGGTGTCTTGGGACAGTTTAGCTTTAGAAACCTTTTCATTGACACTTCCGTATAGTTCTTAAACCTTGAGTCGCTAGTCCTTTGAACCTACCAGAGCCATTTTCTTTCTATCCATAATATCCTACTCCTCAGAATGGATTTGCATATTCACAGATTCCAAAGTCATTGATACCTAAATGTTACATTTAATAATGAAAGAACTAAATCTTACTAATTACGCTATTGAATCAAATGATTGTGTGAAATGCTACAGCAAGTAAGCATCTTGCTTCAAGCTGTCAAGCATTTTATTCAATTTTAAATCCTAGTATCATTATTAAAATGAATTATAAACTTACATAGTCGCTCTTATCTCTTGCTCTTTGCTTCTTAAGGTACTTGATATCTTCAATAAGCTAGGCATTTGCCTCCTCAAAATCATGCTTAAATCTGATTCTCACATCATCAAGGTCTTTAGCAAATCTTTCACTGATTCTATCTCCGTAATTGGCTACGCTTGTCTCGACTTTTCTAATCTGAGCTTGAAGTGTAGAGGTGTACTCTGAGACTTTGAGTTCAATAGAAGAGGCCATAATTGCTTGTATCTCCTCTTTTAGGTCTTACACTAACTTCTTTCTCTGCAATTTATTCATCTGTCCTGGCATTAGTTCAAATTGCTGATTATTATTTAGAGTCTTCCTTCTTGGTTTATCTTTATACTATTGTGTCTATTCCACATCCAAGTATTGCATTCTTACTGAGGCGTCAGGTCTCATGATAGATGCAGAATCTGTTTGCTACACATTCTGGTTAGTCTACTGTAATGATTGCTTATCCATGTTAATATCATTTGTAGAATCTCTTACTCTCATATCTTGATTATCAAATCTTGTGACGGCTCCATCAACAAACGGAATAGATGCATTAATATTAGGGGATTTTGCTTAGGGAGATTCAAGAATTGAATCATTTTGCTTGACTTCATACTTAGCATCTTGACTTGCCACAAATTGCTTAAAATCTATCTTCATTTTGCTCATAGTCTTTGCCTGGTCTCTAATGTATTGCTCAAAATACTACGGATCCTTGTACTGATTCTCCTATGACAATATATCATGTTTATCCTCTGCTTCTTCTCCATGACTGCCATTTTCTATTTTCTCTCCGTTAAGGTCTACATTATTTTTGTTGTATTTGATCATTCTAGATTTATATCTCCTAGCCTTGTCCCTAACGTCAAAGAAGGCCTCTTGCTTGATGGCTCTGTAGCTTCTAGTTCTCTTTGCTGTCGTTTTGTTAATCTCATTTTATGTGTTAGCCTCCTCCAGTCTTTTGCGCATCATAAGCATTTTCTGCTGTTGAGCTAGTCTTTCCTTCCTCTGTTAGAGTATTTCCTCGTATTGTTTCTTAGCTTTCTTGATATACTGATCAGTTCTGGACTCTATTCGCTCTATGAGCTCCTGAATCTCTACTAAATTGGTTGCTTGTCTCAGAGACTCTGCTGAATTCATGTAGCCACTTGAGAACAGCTTTTGCTTATTTAACCTGTTTCTAGCATCATCTATCTAAGCTTTGATAAGCTCTGTCATAAACTACTCCACACTCTAACCAGAGAAAGTAATTCTTTGCTTGCTTTTAGGATCAATGCCAACAAACTATTATTTTTCTTCTCTTGGTATCGCATACTTTATCATTATCTCATTCATTTGGTCACTATAATTTCTAGACTAAGGATCTAGTCCCATTCTTTCAGCTCTGTTCTTTTCAATGGCGATGTTTTGCATGAGTATATCCAGTCTTTGTTGCTAGAACTAGATGAACTTCTCTTCGTCAAACACGTCTGACTCCTGATTCCTAATCATAAACGTTACATTGTCGTTGATCATCATCTGAGTCATCATTGGAGAATACAGCTTGTTATAGGTGACATTGTCCCTCACTGAGTTCCTAATATCATCCATCTCTCTGAACTTGACCAGCAAGAACTCGTTCATCTACCGCATGGACCTCTTGAACTCTTCAGTCAGCATTCTTCTTTCATTCTCTGAGTCCAGTTTCTCTATGCTCAACTGCAGCTAAGTCTTGAAGGTTGCCACCTACGAATCCAAGGACTGCATGCTTTCCTTATTTTAGCCTATAAAGAACTTATTCTGCTCGATTCTATGTGACAGCTTGTCAAGTTGGCCATTGACAAAAGATTCTAGTCTGCCAATCTTCTGCCTTTCTTCATTTATCTCCAAGGCTTAGTTGTCTCGATTCACGTGGATCAATTCTCTTAGCCTCTAGTTCTCTTTGTCTAGCTTCGAAAATCTCTAATCGTAGATATTGATGATTTCTAGCTTGCTCTCCAAGTGTTCCTTGTTCGTCTTGATAATCTCTTTCACCTAGCCCACTTGCTTGTCTACATGATCTGTTTGCTACTCAGTCAAACCTTCCTAATAGATCATAAGATTTAATTTATATATTCTTACGATTTTACTCATTCTTTTGAACAACCCCTCAGTGTCAAATTGAACAGACTGCACCTTTTTAAGAATGACTTCGAAGGCATCAACTTTGCCCTTGTACTTGTCAGTTGTAAGTTTCACTTAATTAACGATCTTGTCCCACTGCTCGTCCCTCTGAATAAAGTAGTCAATCAGTTCCTTCAGCACTTTCCTCGCAGCTGTCTCGACTTGGAATGACTCAAAAGAAAGCACTTCATTACCTTCGTTTTGTCTGTTGACTATCTCGCTCACGTAGGTGTACAGCTTATTCTTTACCTGATTTAACTCTGCATCCCGTTTCCTCTTTGCCTCAGCTTCCTCCTTCAACTCCTTTTCCTTTCGTTCAGTAGCTTGCTAGCTCTTTCCTGCTCCCTCAACTTTACTCAGCAGACTCCCAGCTAGAGCCTAAGCAATATTAGTCTTAGTTTTAGTGGGCTAGCCTTGTGAATCTGCCTGCCTTGTTGGAGAATTAGTTCCTTTTTTAGGAGATTAAGACATTTATTTATTAAATTAGTATAATTATAAAATTGATTCATCCTTTGCCCTCAATTTATACAGAAATTACTGATCGGGGTTTTGGGGTTTTGGGGTTTTGGGG